TGCTCCCCAGTGCTCGTGCTCTCTCTCTCAAATAAATAAATAAAATCTTTGAAAAAAAAATTAAGAACAATTCTGCTAGGATGGCGGGCTCTGTGTGAGCCTTAGCTGCTGTCAGCCCTGTGCGTGCATGAACGCAGGCGCCTGTGGAGAGCAGCCGGGCTCCGACATGCCGCCTCCCGGAGGTACCGTGCAGCTCCAGGCTTTCTCGAGCGCCGCCCCGGGGACGCAGCAGCATGGGAGGGACCGTGCCCACTCCGCCGTCCCATCTCTTCCCGCAGAGGTTCTACGTGGCCTCGTCCCGGCAGCTGAAGCGCCTCGAGTCGGTGAGCCGCTCCCCGGTCTACTCCCACTTCAGTGAGACCTTGCTGGGCGTCAGCGTCATCCGCGCCTTCGAGGAGCAGGAACGCTTCATCCGCCAGAGTGACCTGAAGGTGGACGAGAACCAGAAGGCCTATTACCCCAGCATCGTGGCCAACAGGTGGGCACTCGAGGCCCCGTGGGAGGAGGTGGAGGACTAAGAACTCCGCCTTCGCTCCTGGAGGAGGAGGGTGTGAAGCTGGGCTCGGGCCCCCACACGCAGGTTGGTTAGACTTGGCGGGAGGACAGGACGCAGTGACCATTGAAAGCAGACAGGAGGGGCGCCTGGGTGGCTCAGTCGTTAAGCGTCCTCAGGTCATGATCCTAGGGTCCTGGGATCAAGCCCCGCATCGGGCTCCCTGCTCAGTGGGGAGTCTGCTTCTCCCTGCCCTCCCTGCTTGTACACTCTCTCTCTCTCTCTCTCAAATAAATAAATAAAACCTTAAAAAAAAAAAAAAAAAAGAGCGCTGCAGCTCCAAGCATTGAGTAAAAGCCGGGACCAGGTTGTTCTGGGGTCAGAAAATACTGCCGGAACTATCCGTTAGCTGTTGTCCTGTGATACAAGATCATCCGTGACGGGCAGAGTCAGCCAGTATTTTTGTGTCCTGGTTCTCGGCCGAGGGGTGATCACCCCCACCGCTGTGTGATGAGCCTGGGAAGCCATTCCCCAGTCTTAGGTTGGCCCACGTGAAATTTCCATGCCCGAAAGATCACGAGCAGATGAGTAACATCAATCGAAAAGAAGGGACAGAAGTTTGCTCCTTGTTGACTAAATTCAGAAAAGTGTCTGATTGATCCCTAAAAGGGTACCCTCTTCACTCATGTCCTGATACGTGTTTTGAGACGTGGGTTAGAAAATTCTGGGGAGGGGGTGACAGCACCCTGGATAAGTCCACAGTGTCAGACTAGGCAGGGAGACCATGAATTGTTGGAGACCCTGCCTGCCCCTGCAGAATTCTCAGTTTATCAAATCTGGCTGTCTTTGGGAGAAGCTACACACCCAGGAAGATCAGTCACATGAATCTTAAGGGCTGTAGTGACAGAAAGATCAACACCCTCATCTCCCCAAAATGCTTTACACCTTGAAACGTTAACGTTTCTAATGCTGTGGTATCTTACACAAGTTAGCTTTTAACCAATAATCTGTCTGTTTAAGAGGTAAAATAATCCATTTTAACATTTCTAAAAGGAGAATGATCTGGTTCTGGGAACATTATAGCAACATTGAATATAGTCGCTTATCTCTCCCTTCCCCCTTTCCTGCCAAGAGAAGGTTATTTTAAGTAATCTCTACAGGCAGGGTGGGGCTTGAACCCACAACCCCAAGATCGAGAGTCACATGCTCCCCCGATCTCGCTCCACAAGATCACCAGCTAGGCACTCCCAAGGGAAGCTTATTTTATTTTGGTGCCTCTTACAGTTGATGACTTCTTAGTATTTAGAAATTCTCTCGGACATCATTTTAAAGATGGGTATATTTTAAAGCTTCCAGTGAGAAAAAAGTTGGTTCTTAACAAGGCAGGCTTCAGTTTCCTGGGAAGTCGGCTTCTGGAGAACTCTGTTTAATCCCTGGGGTTGTCAGGTTGTTGAGGAGGCAGTGAGGCCGTGTCCCTTTGGCTGTCCTTCCCCTGTGACAAGGCCTTTCTCGGGACCTCGCAGGGAATTCTGGCAGTTAGCAAAGTGCCCACCCCCCCACCCCCGCCGGCTTGAACCAGACGCCGGATCTCTGGAAAACTGACTCCGGGTGTGTCTGTCCGCCCGTCTGTGTGTCTGCGGGCAGGTGGCTGGCGGTGCGGCTGGAGTGTGTAGGCAACTGCATCGTCCTGTTCGCTGCCCTGTTCGCCGTGATTTCCAGACACAGTCTCAGCGCCGGCTTGGTGGGCCTGTCCGTGTCGTACTCGCTGCAGGTAAGAGGGGGCTGCTCTCGGCCGGATTTTCTCATTCTCTTCGTGGGGGAGTCAGTCCTCAGGTTCCTGGGCCTTCGCTTTGAATCCGGGCAGGAGCTGGGGGAGCGGACGGGGGCCGAGCGGCACTGGAGAATCCCGGTGACCCGCTGGCGCTGGGGCGGGGCAGTGAGACACGTGGCCAGGACTCCCCCACTAGTCAAGCAGGCCGGTGACGGCCGACAGGGTGCCTCCAGCTACAGGAAGAAGGCCGTCCTGTGACTTTCCCTCCCATCACGGCTTTCGCTGGGGCGCCCAGATTTGGATGCGTGGTATTTTCCTCTTACCATCTACTTCAGAATATTTTCGGGCGCCCTTTCTGATGACTTGTGTGGCCCGGGGGTTATTTCGAAACGTGTTTTTTCTTACGAGGTGCAGTGTAGGCCGTCCGGGTGAGGGCGGTACTTGAGGCGGACGTTTTCTGGACCTGTCTTACCTAACACATTTCATAATTCGTAATTACTTCCCAAAGATAAAGCAGCTGGTGCTCACTCTAGGAGCTCTGTGTGACCCTTCCACCCGCAGGTCACCACGTACTTGAACTGGCTGGTTCGCATGTCGTCCGAGATGGAGACCAACATCGTGGCGGTGGAGAGGTTGAAGGAGTATTCAGAAACGGAGAAGGAGGTAAAGCCAGCGCCTGGCCTGGCCTCCCCTGGCCTCCCCTGGCCTCGCCTGGCCTCCCCTGGCCTCCCCTGGCCTCTTCAGTGTGGCTTATCCCGCACGTGCGCTGAGCCACAGCCTGTGTGCTACAAGGCAGCCTCTGTTCGACAAGAATTGTCTTCCGTTACTTGTCACGTATTTGCGTGGGGGACTTCTGTTATGGAAAACGAAACACTCGTTTCCTCCTTGAAGTTTAAAAATTAAGTACCCGTGAGTTGATTCAAAGCATGGAAAGGCACTCACAAGAGGCTCAGTACGTGCATATTGTAAAAATGGTGACGGTGGTAAGGATTTGACCCACGTTTGGGGAACCCTGCAGTTATTCAACCAAAGTCCCCATTTTATAGATGGAGCAAAGGGTGGCCTAGGGAGGGACAGTGGCTGACCCGCGGTCACACGTGGCTGGAGCGGCTGGGAGTAGGACCCCAGTGTCCAGATTTCAGTGCCACATTGTCCTCAGAAACTGCCTTTTTCTGCCTGCACACCGTCGCCTGTAGCAGTGGCAGTGACGGTAACGAGCACCTGGGGAGACCCCGCCGTCCCCGCCACCCCCAGGCACGCCAGCGACCCATACTGTGGCCCCGTAGCACACATCTGACATGTTGTAATTCGTACAGCCTTCCTGTAGCCTCGTAACGCCCATTCTGTCGTGATCCCCGTTTTACAGGTGAGGAAACGGAGACTCAAGGTTAAGTTACTTGCCCAAGATTACATGGCTGGTAAATGGCTGACCTAGAATTTGCGTCTGGGCCATTGGCACACTGCCTCCCAAGAAGGTGCCCTTTGGGAATGAGACCAGGGCCCTGGTTAAACTGTCTTGAGGGATCTACAGAGGTGAGCCGTGCCCCATCCTTAACGCTCTCACACAGTGACCCAGGTCCCCCTTCATCAGAGAGCATTATTCAGAGTGGTGTGAGCACCCCCTGTGGAAATGTATGTATTACACCAGGGGTTTTCCCACTGCACTGAATTTTTTTTTTTTTTTAATTTATTTATTTGACAGAGACACAGCAAGAGAGGGAACGCAAGCGGGGGGAGTGGGAGAGGGAGAAGCAGGCTTCCCACAAGCAGAGAGCCCGATGTGGGGCTCGATCCCAGGACCCTGGGATCATGACCTGAGCCGAAGGCAGACGCCTAATGACTGAGCCACCCAGGTGCCCCTGAGTTTTTTTGGGTTTTTTTTTTACAACAGCTTTTAAGATATAATTCACATGCCATGCAGTTCATCATTTAAAGTATGAAATGAAATTGATTTTTTAGAAAGTACCATGTTTTTTTACTTCTTTTAATTGTTTTTATGTTTTTAGAATAAGAACGTATTTGAAAAATACAAAAGAAAGTAAAGATTATCCAGGCTCTTATCACTACTAAAAATATGTCTTTATATAGAATGTATTTTCTTAGAAAGTTCCATCTACTTCTCTCTAGTGCTCTCCATGTTCTTACAGCTGTCCATTCATTTATATACCTAAGTTTATGAAAGGGAAATATGCTTGTTGAAAAAAATTAATATAGCAAGTTTATGGGGGAGAAAGGATGAACGCTGTCTTTTGTCCTCTCCATTCCTGAGCTTTCCACAAGCTAGCCCCAAGCCCAGCCCAGAGCACGTCCAGTTGTAGCGCTAAGGAAATGTTGAACTGAACTAAGAAGCCCTTCAGAAATAAGAGCTGTGTGACCTTGGGCAAGTTACTTACCCTCTCTGTGTCAGTTTCCTCACATGCAAGGACCCCACTCATGGGACTGTAGTGAGGATTAAATGAGGTCATGTGACCGTGCTCTTTAAAAGCATTAGCCATTGCTTTTATAGTTGCCCTCCACACGGAGGAGGCGTTTGGAGTAACACCTCTACCCTTTTGTCTGTCCAGACAAGACCACTCATTGATCGAATCAATCCGTAAATATTCGTGGAGTCCCTGTTGTGTGCTGTAGGGGCTGGAGCATGGCAGTGAACAGTGAACGAACCTGTCTTCCTAGAGTGGACATTCCAGGGGCATGCGAAGCACAATAAGCAAATAAAAGCACACCTCAAGTGCTAGGAGGTGCCATGCGGTGTGAGGGAGAATGGAGCAGGGGAGGGGACAGAGGGCACAGAGCCAGGGGGTGATCTCAGTGGCCCGAGATCAGCAGCACGTGAGGGAGCATGCGCAGAGGGGAGATGGGGGAAGAGCCTTCCAGGCAGGGTGCAGGGCCCCAGGAGCGGGGGCGCACAGGTGTGGTTTAGAAACAGTGCAGCCGCGTGGGGAGCAGAGTGAGCCAGAGGGAGGGAGAGGGGTCAGAGGGGATGTGCAGCCGGCTTGCCGGTAGCCTTAGGCTGCTGAGACGGACCGAAGATTCCTTATCCTGCCCCGTCACAGGCCCCTTGGCAAGTCCAGGAAATGACTCCGCCCAGCACCTGGCCTCAGGTGGGCCGAGTAGAATTCCGTGACTACGGCCTGCGATACCGAGAAAACCTGGACTTGGTTCTCAAGCACATCAACGTCACCATTGATGGAGGGGAAAAGGTGGGTGCTCCTCGTCCCCCTGACCGTTCATAGCGGGGCATCGCTTGCAACCAGGCAGGTGCAACCAGGCGCATCATTTCCCCAGTTTATCACAGTCTGATTCCATGGGGTAGAGTGGCCTTTTCTGAGATGGGCTTGTGGAAGTAGAAGCTGCTAGAGTGTCCCAGCCACGTTGCACACTGTTGGCAGGGAGCCAGATGAGGCCCGCGGGTACGTTTTGAAAAAAATCTGAATCTGTTGCAAATACTGAAAAATCTGGTATGTCTTATATAAAAATCCATTTCCTGCCCCCTTTTTTTTGTCTTTTTTGAGCGAGCGAGCATGTGCAACGGTGGTGGGAGGAAGGGCAGAGGGAGGGAGAGATTCCTAGGCAGGCTCCACACCCAGTGTGGGGGCTCAATCTCACGACCCTGAGATCATCATCTGAACCGAAACTAAGGATTGGATACCTAACCGACTGAGCCTCCTAGGCACCCCAACTTCCTGCTTTTCTTGAAAGATTAAACATCTATGGGGCGCCTGGGTGGCTCAGTTGGTTGGGCGACTGCCTTCGGCTCAGGTCATGATCCTGGAGTCCCTGGATCGAGTCCCGCATCGGGCTCCCTGCTTGGCAGGGAGTCTGCTTCTCTCTCTGACCCTCCCCGCTCTCATGTGCTCTCTCTCATTCTCTCTCTCAAATAAAAAAAAATCTTTAAAAAAAAAAAAAAGAAAGAAAGATAAACATCTAGCAGCACTGGGCTTATACTCCTTGCCTGGTTCTTTGTAGACAAGATGAGAGCCTCCAAGCTCACCCAGTCACCTCCCATCTCACTTTTGTGCCTACTTGGCCCCTGAAGGAATTCGAGTTTGCCACCTCTAGAATGGAAAGATGCCATCGTCACTACTAGGGACGGCTCAGTGAATATGTGAAGTTGTCAGAATTCTGGAATATATCCCTAGTCCCAAGCTGTTGCTGGAAGATGTCCTTGCTGTTGAGACCCTTAGACCCTCAGGAATCAGACGAAGGGTCTTCCTGGCTGTCTGGCAGAGGACAGAGTCTCTTTCATCTCTGAACATACATGTTTGCTAAACACATATGTGTTTGCTAAACTGTTCCTACCCCAAGGCTCAGAATGTTTCGTTCCCATGAGATAATTTCTCTAACTTCTACCAAGGGGAAGAACAGAGTGGACTGTGTTCTCACTGAGGCTTCATGGCTTATGTTCCATCATGAGACTCTGCTGTGTGACAATTCTGTTAGAGGCTGGAGGAAGCCTGCCTTTCAAGAACCCAGACGAGAAGGGGAGAGTTATAATTGGATGTCAGGAATGTCAGTCATTGGCCACGGAGCAGGGAGCCCCGTTTCCTCAAGGGAGGATGAGTGGAGACTGGGTCCTGTCCATAACCTCTCGTTGCTCCTGCAGCTGGGTTGGAGGGAGCAGGTATGCAGGGGGAATCTGCTTGAATCTTTAAGCTACTTCGACAGCTCAGGATGGAAAACTCACCATCAAAGGATTGAAAAACAGTATGGGGGAAAATACCCGATTATTAACATTATCTAGAGTTGAAAATAATAGGGCTTTATTGAAAATCCCTTCTCCCTGAGCCCTGTCTCTTTGGGAGGTCTATACTAACTTATCAAAAGAGCTGAATATCATTTTAATTTATCAAAAGAGGTGGCACAGAGAAGGAAGTCCTTCTTGACCCTTCATACAGCCCCTGAAGGAGCGTCCCTGGGAAGCTGCTGACGGGGAGGAATGTGGTGGGCGTCAGGTCGACCAGATGACTGAATTGCTTTAGGGCAGACACCTGAAATGTGGGCCTTGTGTGGGGGCAGGTGGGAGGCAGCCCCTAGACACTAGGATTCCCACCTCACCCTGGGCCCTTCCTGTCCCACAGGTCGGCATCGTGGGGCGGACGGGAGCTGGGAAGTCGTCCCTGACCCTGGGCTTATTTCGGATCAACGAGTCTGCTGAGGGGGAGATCGTTATCGATGACATCAACATTGCCAAGATCGGCCTGCACGATCTGCGCTTTAAGATCACCATCATCCCGCAGGTGGGGTCTGGGTACACCAAGGGCGTGAGTGGGGGGCAGTGAGAGAAATGTAGGTATGTTTTCAGGACAAATATAAATGTATTCCTACTTTATTATTTTAATCCTTCTCATTGAAATGATACTGTTTCTTTGCCACTGAATCTCCCCTTAGCATATAAGTAACAGTGGGAATTAACCGGGTATCATTCCTTCACTCCTGCTGGCTTCACTCAGGACAAGAATAAGCCTCTCAAGAGCCAGGCGAGAAATAGGAATTTTCTAGACTGATTTCTGTAGGTGTGATTCCCTCATGTGTTGCGTGGTCGTGTTATTTTTCCTAAAATTTTTTTCTAAGGTTCTCCTTTGGAGGCAGGGAACAGGGAGGAATCCACAGTACTTTATGATTAGGAATTACCCATGCTGCTTCTCCCCACCAGAAGGTTCCGTGTATTGGAGACTCTGGGAAGTTTTCCCAAAAGAAACTTATTTTATTTCACTTGACCCAGGATTTTCCAAACCTTTGCCCCCCATTACTAACATCTCCAGAAATAGTGATTCCAAGGAACTCTGGAACACCATCTTGAGCGATTCTGGCCAGAACTATTCACGTCGCACCTGTTTGCCCCGGGTGCAGGTGTCATGACGTGAGCCTCACCTGCCGTCTGCCATCTTTTCTCGAACAGGACCCTGTTTTGTTCTCGGGTTCCCTCCGCATGAACCTGGACCCGTTCAGCCAGTACTCAGATGAGGAAGTCTGGACGTCCCTGGAGCTGGCTCACCTGAAGGACTTCGTGTCCGCCCTTCCCGACAAGCTAAACCACGAGTGTGCGGAAGGCGGGGAGAACCTGAGGTAAGCAGGGATGTGAGGCCCTGACCGGGTCTCCTCGGCTCCGCCTCCGTCGAGGTGTTTGAAGAGTCTGTCCTCCTGCATCTGTGTCAGGCCTGGGTTTGAGTCCCAGCTCTACCACGGATGAGCCATTTTCTCTTCACTTCTTATAGCCTTGATTTCAGCATCTGTAAAGTGGGCTTCAGTCCAGGCTCGTTGTATCATGAGGTATAAAACCAGGATGGCCGATGTGGTTCTTTTCTTACACCGGGTTTAGTCAATTGAGCGGGACTGTTCAACTATTGAAAGGCTTCTCTCTTGGTCAGTAAATGGCACTTTTCTGAGTTCTTTGAGTCACCACCCGCTGCCCCAGCTGTCCTGGCCCTTGTTCCAGGATCCCCAGGATCCCCCCATGACCCGGCAACTACAGTGTGACTGCCTGGTGTTGCAGGGAACCCGAGCCCTGCTCCAGTGTCCTTCATGCCTCGTCCACCCCTGTGACAGCCAACCACCAATCCTCAGATGTGTTCGGCTGCTCAGACCCTTGGGGTGGTCAGCCAGGTGGCCGTGCTCTTCTCGGCCCCCTTCTATGGCTGGGGGTCCCCGGGGCAGGTCGGCTCGGCTGCGCATGGCCCTCATCCCGCAGCGACCAGCCCAGGCATGTTGTCACTGGCGATGGTGGGGGTGCGTGTTCCCTCTGAGAGCCTCCGGTGGCCTCGTCGGCCGGCATCCCGTTGACCACAGCGAGACACGTGGCTGAGTCCAGGGTCAAGTGGGAGGACCCTCCAGAAGGCACAGATACGGGGCCATCTGTTACTTGTCCCGTGGCCCATGCTGAGCTGGCCACACGTTTGGGATATCCCCGCCGAGCCCGGCTCCGGCTCCACAGCTGGGACGTCCTGAGCCGCCGCTGACGTCGGGTGCGGGCGCAGGGTGCGGGGCGCTCCTGGTCGTGGCAACACCTAGTGCCCCCTCCCTCTTCTCCCAGCTCCGGCCGGGGCTCAGGGTCGGGGCTGGTTTTGACCCTCTGTCCCCTGGCCTTTTCCTCCTGGTCCAGCGTCGGGCAGCGCCAGCTTGTGTGTCTGGCCCGGGCTCTGCTGCGGAAGACCAAGATCCTCGTGTTGGATGAGGCCACGGCGGCCGTGGACCTCGAAACGGACGACCTCATCCAGTCGACCATCCGGACGCAGTTTGAGGACTGCACCGTGCTCACCATTGCACACCGGCTCAACACCATCATGGACTACACGAGGTGACCCTGCCGGCGCCATCCTGTGTCTAGGGACAGCCCTCTCTTCCCCCGGGGTATTTCTGACGCCCTCCATCATGTATTCAGTGCACACACGGGTGGAGTGCCCGCCACATTCTCGGCCCTATTCTAGGCACTAGGGCCTCAGCAAGGAGGTATCAGCCAGGGAGCCTGCCTGAGGGACCTTCGCGGTCAGTCAGGGGCTGGGTGCGGACACAGACGATAAGCACATGAGCACACGAAAGCACGTGGTGCTGGGAACGAGGTAGAAAAGGTGAGAGAGCCCTTCCCGGGGTAAGCATCCCAGGACTTTGACCGGAAGGGATCAAGGATGGCAGCCAGTTGGAAGGCTACTGCAGGAGTCCTAACAGAAGGTGTTAGGGGCCTGACCCAAAGCAGGGATTTGTTCGGGTGGCTCTTTGGGGGCACAAGATGCAGACCCCTTCCCTTCGCCTCACGTCTGTGTCTCCTCCTCTTGCAGGGTCATCGTCCTGGACAAGGGAGAGATCCGGGAGTGCGGCCGGCCCTCCGACCTCCTGCAGCAGAGAGGTCTTTTCTACAGCATGGCCAAAGATGCTGGCCTGGTGTGAGCCGCGGAGCTGGTGCATCTGGTCAGAATTGCAGGGCTGACACGCCAGCGTCCGGGGGTGACGTACTGAAGCGCCGTCCTTGGGAACCCAAGCCTCCTGTATACTGAAACCAAAAAAAAAAAGAGAAAAAAAAAACAACCCCCAAAACCAAAACTCAAAAGCAGCCACCATCTGGCCCCCGAGCTGGAATTGGCCGTGAAGAAGCAGGAGAGAGACAGAGATGCAGCCCACCCAGAACACTCCCGCCCTTGCCTCCGTGGCCCCTGCAAGACGCACATATGTGCTCAGGCCCCTGGGAACGCACGCTCGTGCTCTTGGTGCTCCGTGAGGTTTTGGCAGCCAGACTGCCAGAGAAAGTGGTTTCATAAAATAATGCTAGTGACCAAATCCAGCCAACTGCCTCAGATCTCTCCAGCCAAAGTCAACGGATTCTGTCTTTGAGAAGCTCCCCGGCCCCCGGCATCCCCCAGTGTGCTTTGTCTCCTTGGGGCTGCAGGTGGGAGTGAGGGGCCTGGGAAGATTACTCTCCCCTCAGGCAGTACCCTGAGGGCCACGGACACTCTTCTTACCAACCATCTGGTCTTCCAGGCGCTCAGACACTGGGAACCCACGTCCCAGCCCTGCTCTCCCGGTACTCGCCTCCCAGGCCAGGGGCAGCCTCCACATCCCCGGACTTCTCACTGACGGGACTCGGCGGGACTTCCAGGCTGTCTGGACCTGGAGATCATCTCAGTACCAACTCCCCAGCCCGGCCGCTCCGCTCCTCATCCACTCCAGTCTTCTCCTTGCTTTCCTCGCTCCCTCTTTCTACCCATCGCTAGGATGGCTTTACTGCCCTAGTCCCTGAGAGAGAAGATCTGCCGATGGTGATGAAGCAGTCAAGGCTAAGAGTGCTAGGTACCTCCCAGGTGCGGCCGGTTGGGACTGAAAAGGGCCCCCTTGAGTCTCCTCTGTGTGGTTAGATTTTTTTTTCCTCGCCCTTGGCATCTGGGTGGCTTGAAGGATGGCAGTGTGGAGAACTTGACATTTCATGACCGAGTCTCTTCCAGGACAAGAAAAGGACCCATTCACAGATATCAGTGATGGCTTTTTCTTTTTTTGTTTTGTTTTTTTGGCTTTAAGTGCTGCTCCAGGGGGGAAAAACAGTCTCAAGAGTTTAATTTCTTGGGAGGAGGTGTTGGTTGAGGAGCGGCATTCCCAGGGATTCCCAGCCACGTTGGCCGGCAGGTGACAGGTGGTCCACGTGTTCCTGGAAGAAAATGGAGAAGCAGAGTCCTTCTCGGTTTCTCAGAGACCAAAGCGAGACCCAAAACGCAGAGGAAGGTCACTGCTGCTCCAGGATTCATACTTGCTATGAATTACATTGCTGACTTCACATCCAGAGAAGCATCTTTCTTCTTTTAGGTGGAAATATATATTTATTTTTTTGTAAGTTATACCATTCTTTCACATTAGATAAACCAAGTTTTTCTTGGGGATCTTTTTCTAAAGACTTACACTGGAAACGTGAACATTTGCAAATAATTTACAGTAAAAAAAAAATATTTTGTTTCTTACTCAACAATCGTTGTTTTCTTTGGGGTGTTAGCTGCGGGTTCTGCCACATCCTTCAGAAGTCAGGATGGGGTTACGCTCTTGCCTGCTTCTGTTCTTTGTCTTTGGCAAACCCGTTGTCTCCAGTGGGAGCTCTTGTCCAGGAACGGGACCTGAGAGGTGAAGACTCAGGTGGGGTTCAGTGGGGAGTCGGCATGGCACGGTGGACAGAGCCTGGGCTTGAGCCCTGCCCTTGCGGTTTGCTGACCGGGTGACCCTGCATGAGTCACTGGACGTCTCTGCTGCAGCTGCCTCGTCTATAAAATGGGGCTGACCTGCCCTGCGGGATTGTTGTGCTGATGAGCAGTGATGGTTTGTGGCACGCACGACCTTGGTCGTCTAAGACACAAGCCAGGCAAAAGTCCCATGTGGCCAAAGTTAGCTGAGAGACTCTGTGTTAGGTCGGCCAGGCTGTGCTCTGGTAGCAAATCAGCCGTGAACGCTTAGGAAACGAACACCTGGGTGTATTTCTGACTCAGGCATTTTTTGATGAGTGTCAGATCCTCTCTAGGGTCCCTGTCTTCCCTGCAGCAACGGAGAGACCCAGGCTGTTGTGGTCTTACAGCATCACATCTCCCAAGGGTGGCTTGCGGAGACCGGCACCGCAGGGGAGGGGAAAGCGGGCAACAGGATGACGCACCCCCGTTCTTAAGTGCCCCAAACCGGAAGCGACACAAATCCGTTCCACTCAGCCCAGTGGGCAGAGTCAGTCACGTGGCCCCAGCCCCACCGCAAAGGAAGCTGGGAGATGGCAGGGGGAGGTAAGGAAGAGTAGTACCTCCCCTAGTGGTCGTTCCCGTGGTCTCTTGAGTCGTGGCTAGCGGGGAAGTGAGGCTGGCGTGTTGGGTTTCTGAGTTTGCACTGCGTGAGTCTTGCTCGTGAAGAGTTGCCGTGTTTGGGGAGCAAACCATCCATGCTGCGCCCTGAAAGCAGGCCCCGAGTAGCCGCGCAGAGCGGGCATCCTGCCGTGTCGCCCGGAGCGTGGACGTGCTCAGTAGAGAGAGGCCGGTCAGCTTGTTCCCATTAGAAGGGAAGTATTTGGATATGCCATGTGGGGGGTCAGTTTTAGGGGTGAGGTCCCAGGTCAGATCCTAACCAGGTGTCCCAAGTGTGCGACCTGGTGTGTGCTTCGTGGGCATGCGCCATGGGACAGCCGGTGCTCAGGAGGGTCGCGGGCCTGGGTTCAAGCTCATGCTGCTTCCTGAAGAGGAGACCGTGTGCGGCCTTAACCCCGGAGAGGGTGGGGTCCGAAGCCCCGAGGCTGGGGCAGGGGTAAGCGCTTCAGTGCCGTGGAAGGAGCAAGGGGGGCCCCCCCCGGGTGCCTGGCCCTGGGCTCGGTGCTTAGCCTCACTCCCGTGGGAACAGACCCCCAGGCCAGAGCGGAGCGGGGAACAGGCGTGATGCTTCCTGCGTGGGTCCCACAGCACATTCCAGCAAAGTACTCACAATCTGACCACTTCTCTGCCCTCCAGTTGCTGCCACGCGGGTCCCTGTCTCATGCCCCTGTGACCACCACCTCAGCGATCTCCCTGCTGCCCTGGCCACCCCACTTCCCCCCAGTACAGTCTGTTCTCCACCCAGCAGCATCGTGTGCCTTTAAAAACCCTCCATCACAACCCTCCAGTGGTCCCGTGTCTGGCGGCAGCCAGCTTCCCTGCACACCCCGGCTTCCCGTAACCTCTGGGGGCCCCCAGCTCCCCTCTGGCCATCTCGCAGGGCCCTCCAGCCACAAAGCCCCTCTGCTGTCCTTCCAGCATGCTGGGCACTGTCCCGCCCCCGGGTCTTCCCTCTGCCCCAGATGTCAGCGTGGCTGGTCGCTGTCCTGTTTCTTTCACAGTGGCGGCTCCCCAAGAGCAAGGCTCTGATCGCCTTACTCCGTAATGAATGCCCACCCCGGGCCCATAGCTCGCCCCCGGTGACTGCCTTCTCTGATCCAACACTGAGCTCGCCGTGCCGGGCCCTGGGCCAAGTGTGACGTCATTGGGGCCTCTAGAACCTGCCTTTCAGGAGCTGTGGTTTCTTCATTGGTACAGCTGGGATCGTTGTGTCCATCTGGCCAGGTGGGTGTGAGGATGGAAGCCGATGCAGGTCAAGCACCCAGCGCCACACCTGGCCCTCTGGACACCGTCCTACGTGGTGATGGCTTTCATTCATTCATTTGTCCGTCTATCCAGCCATCCTGATATCCATCCAGCCGTCCGTCCATCCATGCAATCGTCACTTATTGAACACTCCCACGTGCTGTGCACCGTGCCGGATGCTGGGAGACACCGTGAACGCATGTGAACAAATCCCTTGTGTCAAGAAGGAAAGGAGCCCATTCCCTCCCTTCTGGTGGGGGGGGGGTTGTTGCTGCCAGAGTGGAATTCAGCTGTCAGCGAGCTGATGTTCTAGAGCTAAAGGAGTGTGCACGAGGCAGGTCAGTGGTTAGGTCGTGGGCTCTGGCGCCAGGCCACCCGGGTTCAGATCCCTGCATTTTCTCCGTGAAAGGGGCCTCAGGAAAGCGTCCTAGTAAGGTGAGAACCCTGCTCCCTTCCTCCCCCCATTGTAAGGATTCACTGAAAGGCTGAGGCGGGCATCGGGGCAGGGCTTGGTGAGCGTCGGCAGTGACGCGAGGGGACACGGGAGGATGAAGAACCGACCGAGGCGGGCACTGACCACAGGTCTGTACGTGACTTTCCCCGTAGCTGTCTCCCAGTGGGCCTTCGGCACGGTCTCTGGGGAGCCGTGGTGCGCCGCCCCCGGCACCCTCATTAGTGCTGGCTTCCATAGCACCCGCTCCCCTGTCCGTGAAAAAGCCTCGAAGGACCCCGAGTGCGTTTGCCAAACACAGCGGCTACCACTTTTGCCTGCGGTCCGTGTGCCCGGATGTCAGGGGCCCCGCTCCAAGCAAAGTGCAAAGTGCTGCGCCTGGTCCCTTCCTGTCCTTCCAAGTTGGGCAGGATCCCCCACGCGATGCCTTGGGCTGTGGTGTTAAATAGACCCAGGACAGACCCCCCTCACCCTCACCGGCCCGCTCTGCCACTTACAAGCCCGGTGACCTTGGCATGCCAAGGTCATGTGAGCTCTCTGGGCCTCATTTTCCGCCTTTCCAAAACGGAGTTGGTAGGTGCTAGTAATGGTGGGGCCGGCCCTTCGGAGGCAGGACTGGGGGCCGGCAAGGGCTGCAGCCCTCTGACCCCTCTTGGAAGGCATCCAAATGAGCTTCTGGCCACACCTTGGCAGAGGGACGTAGAAGCTGCAATTAGATCTAGATTTAGTTTTCTCCGGGCTGAAAACCCTACACTGGATGGAACAGCGTAAGGTCCCTGTGACATGGCTAGGACAGGGTGGGTGGGTGTCCTCAGGCCCTTCCTGATACACCAACACAGCCACTGTCCGTGTATCTGGGTGATCGGTGGGTTGGCTTAGCCCAGTCCCTCTCAACTGGGTGACTGATCCCCCAGGGGACACTTGGCAGCGTCTGGAGACATCTTGTCACAATAGGTGACAGCATGATTGGCATCTAGTGAGGAGAGGCCAGGGATGCTTCCGAGCATCCCACGGTGCACAACCCAGAATCCTCAACCCCACGTCAGTAGCGATGCAGTTAAAAAAAATTCTGGCGTGTATACTCTCTGCCCCACGGAGGACCCGAGGAGCTCCTCAAGCAGAACAGTTTTGACACTAATAATGAAAGTTGATTGAGCACGTATTTGTGCCCAGCTCAGCTCAGACGCTTGCACGTATTAACTTTATCCCTGCAGCGATGCCATGAGGTCACGGCAGAACCCTGGGCTGCCAGAAAGTTCTCATCCAAGGCGTGGACTTGTTCTCATGCTGCATGTCTGTGTGACCTCAGGCTTGGCTATTTTAGACTCTGGTCCCTCTTGGCCCGCGCCTGCAGCCGGCTTCAGCCGCGCTGTATCAGCTTTGCGACTGCGGAGGGAGATGGGCTGAGCCCCACGGCACGCCGTGCTGGTGCCTCCCCTGGACGGTGGGCAAGACCCGGCCCATCTCTGCCGCGGACCTGGGGCTTCCAACAGTCTCCGGAGGACGCTCCCGGCTGATGCACCTGCTGGTGGGCCTCCCCCCCACCCCCCAGCCGCCCACCCCCAGGAGCTAGAATTTGGTCTTTCACACACGTGCAATGTGTGCCCTGAGCAAATTCTCTCCGTGGGGGGCCCGGGAGTCCCTGGCTCCGCAAATCTTGTTTTTGGCACTGAAGGTGCTGGTGTGGGGGGCCGGCCTGTTCTTGGTGGGGGGGTTGGGGGGTCGGCTTGTGTGTCGGTTCAGACAAGACGCTCCTTGGGGCTCACCTACGAGGGTGGAGGGGCAGCAGCAGGAGGTGTGGAATTCCCTGGAATCCTATGAGGAGCTTTAAAAATACTTACCAGAATGGAGAGCACATCAGCGCCTGGTTGCGGGCGGGAGGAAGGTGGGTACGGTCACAACATGGTGACCGGAGGTGTCCTTTTGGTACTGGCCGTGCTCGGCATCCTGACTGGTGGTGGCAGGTGCAGAAGCTTGCCCAGAGACACATGTGTGCGTGCACATGCACAAATCCAAGTAAAAGTGGGGAAATCCGAACAGCATCGGCCAATGGTACCGATATCACTGTTCTGGTTATGATACCGTACTACCGTTTTTCAGGATGTTGTTATTGGGGGAAACAGAGTAAGGCTACCCAGGAACTTTCTGGAATATTTCTTATAATTGCTTGTCCATCTACAACCATCTCAAAATAAAGAGGGTAATTTGTAAAAGGTACATGCTCCACCCTTCCCCCGCCAGCCCCAGCCCCAGCCCCGGGGATGTTGATTTTCAGGGTCTGTGGTGGAGCCCGGGCATGGGTGGGTTTTTGAGCCCCTTGGGTGAGGCCCCTGGGCAGCCAGCGCGGAGAGCCACCAGCAACTTCAGCTCCGGGGTGGACGAGGCTGGACGAGCCCTGATCAGACCGACCTGGGCATTGCTGTGTCCTCCCAGGTCTGTGACGGTTGGCCACTTCCTCTGCCATTTTCCTCCCAGAGAGCGGTGCCAACCGATGACCCCTGGGTCCCTGGCACCCCCAGGGCACAGCAGTCTCTCTGGGCTGGTACGACAAGGCGAGAGTTGAGGGCTCAGACCAGGCCCGATTCCTGCGCCAGCCTGTAAAACAGGCCCTTCTGGGCCAGCAGCTGGGCCGGGCTGCCACTCTCTGCCATCTGCCCCTTGTCCAGGACGAGCACCCTGCAGGGTAGAGGGAAACGAGCAGCTCTTACCAGCCCAGTCGGCCCGGGCGCTCTGCCGCCGAAAGCCCTGCGTGTCTGTTCCGGAAGAGTCTGGCCTTCCCTGCAGTTTCCTGACCCTGACAAGCAGGGCGGAAGCATCAGCTGGGCATGAGTCCTTGGCCCCTCCCTTCCCCTCGGGGCATCAGTTCTGCCTCCCGTAGAGTGGGCACTCGCTAATCCATTCCAGCGCCCCTCCGGCTCTAAACCCTGCCGCTTCCTCTGCCACTGCAGGGGTGGCGGGGGCCGGAGGAGCCCCCGAGGGCCAGCCGGGAGAGGGGTGCGTACCTGGCGCAGTCCATCACAGAGCACAGGCGGTGGGCGATGAGCAGCACCGTGCACCGGGCGAACCAGCTGCCGAGGGCGGCCTGCATCTGGAGCTCCGTGCCTGGGTCCACGGCGGCCGTGGCCTCATCCAGGATGAGGATCCGGGTTTTCCGCAGAAGGGCCCTCGCCAGACACAGGAGCTGCTTCTGGCCCACACTGGAAATGAGTGGGAGGGTCAGGCCAGACACTGGTATGCCTGCATGTCAAGATGGGCAGGGTCTGCCCACAGATGAGGTTTCCCCCGACAGCTTCAGAAGTTGGGGATGTGTGTGTGCACATGCACGTCTACATGTGGGTCGGTCCCTGGTCCCCGAGCTGGTAGGAATCCCCATCCTGCCATTTTTGATCAGGGTGACTCGAGGCAAGACATTCAAACCCCGGTGCCTCAGTTTCCCCAGCAGTGAAACGGCTATTTCTGTTTCTATTCTGGGGTTTTCACCTTGTGCCGGACACATGAGTGTGTGCGTGTGCATATGCTGGGTCACTTCTCACAGGGACCACCAAGGTGGTTACTGTATTGAGTCTTGTGACTACTGAGGGTGCGAGGACAATATAAGTCCCATAAAGTGCTCAGCGGTCTGCTTGCCACGGGGAAAGCCCTCAGCACTGGGAGCTTCTCCTACTCTAATTACAGACAGGGAAGTTGAGGCTCGAGGTCACACGGTCTGTGAGACCCCTTGCCCTTGAGACCCAAGGGTGTCTGGGGCTCTTTCCTGCCATGCTTAACCGACTGAGCCACCCAGCCACCCCCAGAATGTCTTGGTTTTGAAAAAAAGCACACACCATACACCTGGCAGCATTATTCACAGTAGCCAAAAGGTGGAAGCAACCCAAGTATCCATCAATGAATGAATGGATAAAAAAGATGTGGTCTATCTATACAAAGGAGTATCATTCAGTCTCAAAAAGGAAGTTCTGACACCTGCTACAACGTGGAGAACATTGTGCTGAGTGAAATAAGCCAGCCACTTAAATGAGAGACCCAGAGTAGCCAAATTCCTAGAAACAGCAGAATGGCGGCTGCCGGGGGCTGCAGGCTGGGGAAAATAGGGAACTGCTTCTTTAATGGGTATAGGGTTTCAGTTTTGCAAGATGACAAAGTCCTGGAGATGGGTTACACAGTGGTGGGGATGTACTCAACATTACCAGTCGTACATTAAAACATGGTAAAGATGCTCAATTTTATGTGTATTTTACCACAATTAAAATTTCTTTAAAAAGGCATAGGCCAGGAGCGCCTGGGAGGTTCAGTCGGTTAGGCGTCTGACTCTTGATTTGGGCTCAGGTCATGATCTCAGGGTCATGAGATCGAGCCCTGCCTTGGGCTCTGCGCTGGGCGTGGAGCCTGCTTGAGATTTTCTCTCTCCTTCTCCCTCTGTCCCTCCCAGCCTCACTCACACGCGCGTGCTCTCTCTGTCTCAAAAACAAAACAAAAACAAAACAAAAAACATACACCATATGTTACTCAATACCCCAGTGAGCGTGTGGTTAAGCACCAATATCAAAGACCATACTTTTGCAGCAAAATAAATGCTGAGTGGGATAAAGAGAGACCGTAAGTAGCCTTGTGTGGGTAATTACAGGTTGGGTTTTGTCGCCCAGATACATTTAGGGACTGAATTTAGGAAAAAGAGCCTGGCTACTCAGAGCCTGTGTTGGTGTTTGGGATTGCTGATAAGCGACAGGTTCAAACTGTGAGTACTGACTGAATGGGGCTGACTTCCAGGGCACGTTAGCCCCGGGCTGACCCCAGTCGGGGCGTGGGGGGCAAGCCTACCTCAGGCTGTGACCTTGCTCGGCACACTCATACTGCAGCTGGCCCGGCAGGCTGGCCACCACGGCTCTGAGCTGCACGGTCTCCAAGGCTTCCCAGATGGCCTCATCCGTGTGCTCATTCAGTATGTCCAGGTTCATCCGCAGAGAGCCGGGGAACAGCGCCGAGTCCTGGCCAGAAGGGGGCAGAGGGTCAGAGCCGGGCCTGGCCGTGCCTCTCACCTCTGCCCACCCCGTTCCCCCCAGACCTCACCTGGGGGATGATGGTGATCCTGGACCGCAGCGTGTGTAGCCCCACGTGGGCGATGGGGACCCCGTCGATCCAAATCCCCCCCTCGGCCGCCTCCAGGAGCCGCAGGAGGCCCCCGGCCAGGGAGGACTTCCCGGCCCCCGTCCTGCCAACGATGCCCACCTGTCAGGGGATGGGAGGCGAGGCTCGTTCTGACCAGGCCCGACCAGACGAAGGCAGGCCATGGGCCGGAGGGTCCCTGGGCATCTCTACGAGGTCTTTCCCCTGCGCCCAAGATCCATCCGTCTATCCATCATCCTTTGATGGATCGTCTTTCCATCTGTCCCTCTGTCCTTTCATCTGATTACCTTTCCATATACTCATCCCATTCTATCCAACCTTCTTTCTGGACATCATTACCTTCTGCCCCCGCTGCCCCCCCCATCCTCCGTCAGCATTTGCTGTTGCATTCTCAATGTCTGACACTCGTGGAGGCCCGGCATGATTTGTTTAAGAAGTGAATGACACGTGTCACCCGTTGTAGGACAGGCACTGTTCTAGCCACCAGGAATACAGAAATGAAGGAGTCCTTGCTCCAAAGAGCTCCCTGGGTGGTCTGGGAAATAGTGCAACTGAGCATACTTCATTTGAATACAGTGGGATGAACAAGCCCCCTCTATAATCAAACTCTGGACCTGAAGCTGCCTGGGATGGGGGTAGTTAATGGGGTAATCAGAGAAGGCTTCATGGTGGAGGGGATTCTTGAGTGGCATCTTGAAGGATGAGTAAGAGTTTGGGGAGGGGGAAGATTCCAGGTCAACCACACTAAGTGCTAGACTGTAAACTCCCCGAGGGCAGCACTGGGTGCCCACCTGGCCCAGTGAGGCGGCTACTCCACGGTGTTGGCTAAGCCCCAACAGGGCAATACACGGAGACTTGGGCATAGCCTTGAATGCCAAGCTCAGGAGTTTGGGCTTTCTTCTAAGGGAAGCTGGGAGCAGACGGAAGGTCCCAAGCAGGGGAACAACATGCCGGGATAAAGATCATAGGAAAACAGACTGGAGGTGGTGAAACGGGAAGCTGGGGGCTCAGTTAGGGGCCTGGAGCCGTCCGGGGGAAGGCAGGAAGGAAGTGTGCCTGGGTGGGGAGTCCATGGGCTAAACATCTGTAAAATGGGATAATCCTAGCGCTTCCACCTAGGGTTGTTGTCAGAGTAAAACTGCAAATGATAATGAATAAAAGCACTGGTAAACCTTTCTGCAGCACTGGCGATGTGCCAGGCCCTGTTCCAGACAGTGTCCCCATGTATTAACTCAGTTAAGCTTCACAACAGCTCTAGGAGAGTGACACTATGATTTCCAATTTTACAGATGGAAAAACTGGGATCAAGACCTGAAGTGACTTGCCCAAGGTCAGCCATGGCAAAGCCAGGAACTGAGCCCAAGCCAACTGGATAAGGTACGTGGAGCATTCCGCCCTCTGCCCCGGCACATGGTAGGTGTTCAACTAATATCAGAGGCAAAAAGAAAGAAGGGAGTCGGGGAGATGCCTCCTCGTCTGGGACACCAAGGTGGGTGGGCGGTGCATCTCACCAAGATGGCGGCAGGTTTGGGGAAGACTGTAGGTTCGGTTAGGGTGTGGTGGGTCTGCAGACGAGGGGAGCTGAAGTGGGGTGTGGAGGAGGCATTGCTCACCCTGCGCCTGGCCTCCATGAGGAGGAAGACATGGAAGAGCCGCTCACCTTCTCTCCGGCGTGGATCTTGAAGGACACACCCCGGACGGCCAGTGGGAGCTCAGGCTGGTATCTCAGCCCAAAGTTCCGGAACTCGATCTGCCCCCCGTGAGGCCAGGGGGACCGGGCTGCACAGGTGGGCAGCCTCCAGGGCGCCTGGGGCAGGAGGGGACACGGGGTCAGAGGAGCGTCTCTCCGAGGTGTCTCACGAAATGGCCCACCTCTTTGAGGTTCAGTTTCCTCTTCTGCAAAATGGGCATATTTACTGCTTTTTTACAGGGTGGTAGGGGGCATGGAACACAGCAGAGCGAAAAACAAATAATATCTGGGATTATAAAAATAATGCTGGTATTGGCTACTCTTTTATTATTATTATTATTACTAGCTACTATTAATTGTCAAATAATAGTCTCTCTTCCTCTAGAAGGGGTAGACACGCCCCTTCACCTTTGCGAGGAGGACGAGACTGCGCCGTAGGGGGCATTAGCTGCCGCTGGCTCTTCCCGGGACCTTGAACGTGCCCTCCACGCCCTGGAGGTGTCAGGGGGCCAGTAAGAGCAGTGGGCGCAAATGGAGTGCCTCCAGTGGGCCTGCCCCGCCGTCCTTCCCTGCGGGGTCTCACGCCTCCCCCCACCCCCCATGCCTGCACTGTGGGCTTGCCGCGTGGCTGTGATCTCGCTGGGACGCCTCTGTCGTCTTGCTAGCATGGGCGTGTCCTGCCACTGTCACTCATGGTCCCCCCCCCCACTCAGAAGCAGGACCTGCTCTGCCCAAGTGAAGAAGCCCAGGAACCAGGATTTGTCCTGGTTGCACACGCTCTGCTCTGAACTGGTACTGCTATGTTGGCCCTGA